GACGAAAAAAGGGATGGCTTCTTCTTAAAGGAAAAAGGGGGTATACATTCGATATACAGTCACTATACATTCTATATACACTAGAGATACTCTCGATATACACTGGATATACACGGGCAGCCATTGAAAAATACAAGGTCATGAACCCCACCCCAGACGACCACTATTTCGTCTTCTTCGTCCTCACTGTGGGAAACAGATACATACACACACACAACAAAAGAAAGAACAGGAATTCGTGGACTTCAGTTAGTTCGAGAAACTTCGGCGACCTCCATTAACGCCGACGAAATCGCATTTTCGTCTCTCTCCACTGTTCTCCTCTCATTTTTCAGTTATTTTAGTGACTTTGTTCTACAAAATCAGATCCGGCTATTTTTTTTAAAAAAAAATTCCGATGAGGTTCCGTCGAGGTCCGAGCTCCCGTCCGTTTGAGTTCCTGTCATGGCTGCAGTGTCGATTTTGTTTGTGTAATTGCTGAATGCTTTGAGGAATTGAAACTTCATTTTTCAGGTGCAATTCTTACTTCTTCTTATGTTTCTCTAATGGTAATGGTGTGGATTCATTTTGAGTTTATTTTGCAAGTATTATTTTCTGTTTGATTTACAACAAAGTAAGGAAACATGATTAATTTGGTTATAAGGAGAAGAAAACGGTACTGCCCGTCATTTTGATAATAGAAAACCATCCAATTTTCAGTTAAGGATTATATTCATTAATTCATATAAAGTAATTGTTAATATATACATTTTATAATATTCTAATAAGTGTCATTTGGAAGATGTATACATATTGTAATGACACTTATTTGTGACCTTTTTGATTAATGATATACGCAGGAGACAAGAACTTTTCCCAACAGAAAGCTCTTTCTTTTCTATAATGTTTAGCATCTTTCCATCCTTCAAGTGCTTTAAGAAGTGCAATATGTGATTTTTACACTGTTTCATCTTCACAAAAGGAATTCTATAATAATCTTCCACGAGTTATGTTTTGATAATTACTTGGACTGGAGGATATGTAGTTTCTGTAATTTAGTTAGTCATTGCAGTTGAATTAGCAATTATCGTGATTGTGTACACGTTCGCGTGACATGATCATGATTCTAATAATCAATTCGGAGTATGCCTTCGCGCAACTTCGATCAAACTTTTGTTAATAATAAAAATGGGTTTCCATGGGCTATTAATTAATTTTAATTTATATAGCTTGAGGTGTGCCATTCACTTTATCATTTGTGGCCCCCGTATTAACTTCACGACTTAGATATAAAATGACAAATGTTTGTAGCATGCTTTAGGCATGATTAATAAATAAACCATCGTGATTGTGTACACGTTCGCGTGATATAATTATGATTCTAAAATAAATTGAGGTATGTGTTCGCGCAACTTCGGCAAAACTTTCTTAATAATTAATATAGCGTGATTAATTGTTAAAATAAAAACGCAACTTCCTTTTGTTAAAATAAGTGAGGTGTGTCATGCCAAACAAAAGTTATAATTCATGGCACTCGTAAGATTAAATTAAGAACTAACACTTATAGAAAATGTTTGAGGTGTGCCATAAATAAATTAAATCATCTATGACCCTCACAAATATTGCTTTTTAAAAATTTGAACAATCGTAATTTGCTTTAGGCCCGATTTAGATTAGTATTGTGATTATATATACTTTCGCGTAATATGATTGCAAATTTAACTCTTAAAAGACTCGAGGGATGCGTTCGCGCACCTTCAACCAAATTTTCCTAATGAATCAACGAAGCGTTATTAATTGTGGACACGTTCGCGTAACATGATTTTTGACGTGCCAAAGAAAAGAGTATACGTACGCGTAACTCAATTCTTTAATTACGAATAAATCAAGTGATTTAAATGCGGTAAAAAGATAATTGCACATAGTTTCTAAAATAAGTAATTAGACAATTTAAGTCGAGTATAAATTGGTAAGCGACCGTGCTAGAACCACGGAACCCGGGAATGCCTAACACCTTATCTCGGATTAACAGAATTCCTTACTTAGAATTTCTGGTTCGCAGACTTCAAAAAGGAAAGTCGAAATTTCCTCGATTTGGGATTTAAAATAAACCGGTGACTTGGGACACCATTTAAAATATTCCAAGTGGCGACTCTAGAATTAAATAAATAATCTCATTTCGAATAATGTCACTTAAATTAGAAAAATTCCCTTATACCCCTCAGGTGTGTAAAAAGGAGGTGTGACATTGGGCATCAAACTCGAAAAAGCTTATCATAATTGACACCAGAATCGAAATGGCATATCTAATCAAAGGTCACGCGCAAATCAAAGAAATGCATCAGAAACATGCATCGTCATGACGCATGACATCGTTACATCACCCCTTCTCTTGGACCAGATGGATCCAACAAATCACCCGAAAAATTTAAAGGATTTGAAATACGTGGCTCATAGAGAGCCAGGTTGCCTGCTCGCCACGATGACTATGACCCATATAGTCTGCTCGATAAGATTGATAACAAATGACATTATCAGCTCATCGAACTCGCTTGCAAGGATGACCTCAACAAGCGGAGGGACTAACTACATGGGCCAAAAATTACCTTTGATATGATTAAACCGTATTAGCATTAAGAAGGCCCTCATGGGCTGCCACATATCACTAGTACGACATCGATAAAGGCATGCCCAAGGTCGAAGTGGCCTCTTAAAAGGTGAAGGGCAAATCCGATGAAGTTATTGAAGATCAAGGTCGAGGAGTCAGCTAAGATAAGGGTCGAGGTCGAGCATTCATCGTAGACAACGTTAAAAGATAATATTCCAGTGGATATTCTCTGTACCTGTACTATTAGAGTTTCTTTTAGGTATATGTTCCCTGTAAATAGAAAGAGACACAATAATAGGGGGAGAAAATATTCACCTGTAAGAAAATACATTGACTTTCTCTATAGAATCTAGTTTTATTGCAAACATACAACATATACATTTTTTCTAATATTCTTGCCTAACTTTTCCACTCGATCCAAGAACAATCTGAACATTCGAAGGCTCATCAATCGTTCATCATTGTCAGAAGGAATATCCACAGATCTCATCCCTTTTCGACTGATTCACACGTTCTTATTTATTTAAATACCATTCATTGCTATTTATTGTTATTTAATGCTATCCCCTTCTTTTTGGGTCATTGAATATTGTTAGTGTCGTCAATATTTGTTGTCATTCGGATAATATACTCCCTCTGTTTATTTTTATTTGTCCACTACGAACTTTTTACGTCCCTTAAGAAATAATAATTGCAGTATTTATTTTACTATATAATCCTTAATAATGTTAGCATTTTAAAAAGTCTTGGAAAATAAATTTGAAAATGAGTAATTAATGACAAGGATAAAATAGGAAAAAAGATTGTCTTCCTCTAAATTTAGTATAGTGGACAAGTAAAAGAGAAAATATATTTTTAGTATAATGGACAAGTAAAAGTGAACGGAGGGAGTACATATTATCTTATTACAAAATCAGCTAACGTATCTTTTGGACATTAATATTGGCTAAGATTGACTTTATTTTATTAAATCTAATTGATTAAGCCCATATCTAAATTTGGGTCAAACATTAAATTATTACTCTTTCCGGTCCACAATAAGTGACCAATTTACTTTTTTATTTTGGTCCAAAATAAGTGTCCATTTAGATAATCAAGAAAGAATTCAATTTGTTTTTACAAAATTACCCTTATGTACATATCCCTAAAAAATTTTCTTACTCCTCATATTAAATATTTAATTAAAGATATTTTAGTCATACTAGGTATTTTTATATAAAATTTAGTATTTTCTTAATGGGCATGCTAAAAGCAAATTGGTCGTGGATGGAGGGAATATTGTGATTAAGTAGAATGTTATTAAGAGCACATCTGTAATGTCAAAAGAGAATTAAATTTTAGCGTAATTTCATAATTTGGTTTGTGGTTGCTTGACTAACCTTGAATTTAGTGTAATTATTTGCTATCGGAGAATACTTTCATACCTCATATTTACTGTTAGTTATCATTCAAATAAAACAATTCTTAAAATGTTACTTAGATTATATTCAAATGCATTTGAATTTAGCATAATTAATTAATTAATTAATTACATTCTACTCAATTTAGGTGGAATCATTATATGAGGATACTTTAATCCGCGCACTTCCAACCAAAACAAAGCTAGCTTGTCATTTGAGAATAATAACAACAATAAATAATTTCTCTAATAATTTTAGCAACCGAAGCCTTAGCTGTACTGCTGCCACCTAAGCACTTCCTATATGATACAATGTTTAATATCCCAGCCCCAAAAAGCAAAATCTAGAAATAACTCCCATTCTATATGATACAGTTTAATTGGATGCAAAAATTATAAATAAATAAATAAATTATATATATTTATCTAACCATAAATTATTTAACTGGATAAATAAAAAGTTTATTATTAATTTTTTTATTAAAAAATATTCTTCTTTTTTGGACAAGACTTAAAAGGAAATTATTATATAAATTGGAATAAAGCAAGTAGTTAGTAACTATTGGAATATTTACATGTGTTAATCTTTTTCCTTCCAAGACAAGATTAGCATTCTTCCATAAAAATATTACAGCATTTTACTCAATTTGATTGGAATAACTATAAGAGAATATTTAACATCTCAGCCCCAAAAACTACAAAAGCAAAATCATGAAATAAGTTATACTATTCTTTTCGTCTCATTTTATATGATGCAATTTAACTGCATACAAAATTTATTAAAAATTGCAATTTTATAATTTAAAATAAATTATATATATTTATGTAATTATAAATTATCTAATTAGATAAAACAAAAAGATTATTATTAAATTATTTTTTAAATAATTTTTTTTTCTTTTTAGGACAAGATTTAAAAAGAAATTGCAATTTGGAATATTTACATGTGTTAATCTTTTTCCTTCCCAAGACAAAATTAGTATTCTTACAATAATAGTCCCATTTGGTCATATGCCTTTCAACTGAAAGTCAGTCTTTAAAGGAAATTACAGACTTCGTTCGTGTTGTGTGTAAAAGCTCCAATGGGGTGTTGGCACTCTTCTTTGAGCTCCAAAGACCCTACCTCCGACCACCGCCATGTTCACACCCACAAACCTCCTCGTTTCTCTAACGGCACTACCGCCGCAGCTGCCGCCGTGTCTGACGGCGGCGTACCTGCCTTCTCTGAGTTTTCATTAGCTGAGCTGAAAACAGCTACTAATAACTTCAGCTCCGAATTTATAGTTTCTGAAAGCGGCGAAAAGGCGCCGAATGTGGTTTATAAAGGTCGTCTACAGAATCGCCGGTGGATCGCTGTTAAGAAATTTACTAAATTAGCCTGGCCTGATCCTAAACAATTCGCGGTATTTTATGCCCTCTACTTCTGATTTAATTTTTACTGTTTCCTATTAAATTATGTTTGATATGGCGAAAAATGTGTTTTTAGACATTGTTTTGCTTGATAATTTCAATATTCCAATGTTTGATTACCTTTATTCGGGAAAGAGTGTTTTTTAAAGTTTCCCCTCCAAGTGGAAAAAATGGACTTCTTTTGGTATGAAAAAAAAATTGTTTTTGTAGACATTGTTTTGCTTGATAAAATCATATTCCAATGTTTGATTAATTTGAATCGTGGAAAAATGTGTTTTTAAAGGAGAGATGTTTTTTTTTCCCCGAAAAATGACTTCTTGAAGAATTACTGGTATGCAAAATAAAAATGTTTTGAAAATTATTTGCATAGTTTGGCTACCTTGAATTGAATAAAGGTAATAACTTGGTTATGAAAAATGAGTTTGTTATAGCATTTTTCACAAAAGTTTTCTTGTTTAACAGATGCGCTCATATTTTCCCCCTTCTTTTGAGACTTTCTAATGGGGTTTGTGTTTTTTGTTTGATGGTGTGTTGTAGGATGAAGCTTGGGGTGTTGGGAAGTTGAGACATAGAAGGGTCGCCAATTTGATAGGTTACTGCTGCGATGGTGATGAGAGACTGCTTGTAGCTGAATATATGCCCAACGATACACTTGCAAAACATCTGTTTCACTGTATGTTTATCTTGTTGCAAAGTTGTTAATTTTTTCACTTCTGTATTTATGCTGAGATTGGAACTTCAATGCTGATGCTCTTCTTTCATAGATAAGAGAAACCACAAGATTATTTGATTGCTCACTGTTGGAAAGATAACAAGTTAACAGTTACTGCATCTGTTTAATAAGTGTTTGCAAAATATTGACTTGATTTTGTGGTTTATACCGACTAATGTCTTGGCTATTTTTCTCCTTAATAGCATTTAACTTATTAAAGGAACAAAAGGGTTGTTTGGCATGTTATCACAAAGAGATGCTTGTTAGATTTTCTTAACCACCAAAGCCTATTAACAAACCTATATACGATTAACTAGTAGGACAGATTTCCTTTAGGATTGAAAATAGGAAAGAGGTATTCGGAGAGCTTCAGATTTGTGCTAATATGTGTGTGTTTAGCTCTCTTAGCACACGTTTATGCTGTATGTTTTGCTTGCTTGAGTTGTTGTTACACCATCTTTTATAACTTGAATTAAACTTCTAGCTTTTGCATGCTTTGTATGGCTTGATGGTCTGTCCTGAATTTACATAATTTGTCCCTCATTTATCTGATAAAGTATCTTAGAACTTATGGCTTCAGAGTTGCTTGTTTGCTTCTATGTAGGGGAAAATCAAACGCTTGAATGGGCCATGCGTTTAAGAGTGGCTTTATATATTGCTGAGGCATTGAATTATTGTAGCAGTGAAGGTCGACCATTATACCATGATTTGAACGCATATAGGGTTCTCTTCGATGAGGTGTTCTGCTGGACCTCTTCTTTTTTGTGCTTGAAATTTTTTATTCACTCCCTAGGGTGATAGCTATCCCATTTCATCCACCTTCCTTTTTTTCCCCTGGACAATTTAGTTTAGTGGGACTTTATGGGTTATTTGTGCAATGTTAACTTGGTAAAATGTTTGGACAGAATGGCGATCCCTGTCTTTCTTGTTTTGGGCTGATGAAAAATAGCAGGGATGGTAAAAGTTACAGTACAAACCTTGCTTATACACCTCCTGAGTACTTAAGAAATGGTAAGCTTTCCATTCTTTTTTTTCCTTGCATTTGTTGCCAGTTTTATAATTTTTTCCCTTAACCATTACTTCCATGTGTACAATAACGATGTTAGATTTCGTGATAGTTGGGTCTTGGACCAAACTAACTGATAGGTAATATGATTTATCAATGTTGGCTGGTGGGATTTTGAAAAAGAAAACCACTACACGTGTTTATATGAAAAAGCATGGAGTACTTTTGTTCTCGGCTCATGAATGAATGAACATAAACCAAGATAAACGTCTTAAGTCCTTGATGGCCAGAATTAATCTTTGCTCCAGCGGCATATGAAATATCTCCAGATTATTTCAAATCCATAGCATAGAAGAAATTGAAGCCGTTATGCACCCAAGGTGTGGCTTTGTGGTCAGTGAAGTCGGTTGAGAACCCAGCGAAGGCAAAAACAGTAGGTGATTTCTTTCCATCTGTCCAAGCCTTGATATGTAGAGTTATCTGGTACCTGTGCTCGTGCGAGGTAGCAGGTATCCCATAAAATTAGTCGAGGTACACACAAGCTAATTGGAATGCCATTGTTATTTTATAAAAAAAGAACTTGAAGCCGCAACTTCCTTTAAGATCCGTATTCTGCTCATTATTTGTTGAGAAAGCGCCTAGATCTGCCACCTTCTGATCTTGCATATGAAACTCCCCGTGGGAAGCGAGCCTAATATTTAAATCCTGAAGACTGATTTACAAATGGAACTGAGTTGTCACGGCTCTTGAATAGATCAAGCAAAAGTAGAATGGAGATCTTTAAAAAGAAATGCTCAATGACACTGCAAGTAAAATAAAAAAAAAATAACATGAAGAAAATATTAGCCAGTGCCTTTGTCATTCATGTAATTTGGTATAGTTAGCATAAATAAGACGCCTCAACTGAACTGCATGCCACATTTGCTGATGGCTACTTATTTAGATGTTCAACTAAAATGAGATGGAAATGCTGTAACGTAAGTAAGGATCTCTCTCTTTAATCCCAAGGAAAAAGCAACAGTGAATAAATTTTCAATTGATTTTCTGTGATGTTTGCAACTCTATCAATCGAATGTACGGGGAATTTTCCTTTAACTCTTTGACGGACATTGCCAAATGAACAGTTTATTTCTTATGGCAAGAACCTTGCTTGATAATCTGGAAGTATCTGGCATCATTAGCTGGAAGTTGATATTGGGGAGGGCTATGGTATCGTTTTCGTACCGTTCTAACTAAGGCAATGTGCTATCACTATCCGAGTGCCTAGAATTTTGTCACCGTTGAAAGTATGATCCTTAATTTTTGTGTACTTATCCTACCATCCTGTGTGCTTATCTTCTTTTGTTAGATGTTGGATGGGTTTTGAGAGGGGGAAGGGGAGGGGGAGGAGAAGATGCTGAACTTATCTGGACGTAATCCTTTCAACTAAAAAATATTGCAAGAGATTGTTACGGGCTTGCATGAGAGATTTTGTTGATATCTCCGTGTTCTATATACTATCATTTCAGTATCTAAGTGCTATTAGGAGATGGAAAGTTTTTGTTAAAACTGTCATTTCTTTTGCAGGGAGAGTTACTCCAGAAAGTGTTGTTTTCAGTTTTGGGACAGTCCTCTTGGACCTCCTAAGTGGAAAGCATATCCCTCCTGGTCATGTAAGTTTCTAAATTCCTTTCACGTTTGATGAGTAAGTTAAATACATTCCCTGTAATGTTATGTCGGTGGTCCTACCGCATGACCCATTTAGACTTCTCTAGTTCTCTTTTATGAAAGAAAAGAAAACTTGTTAGAGAGAAGATTGTTGTTTGAGGGCTTTTGTGGGACCTTGAGGTTCAAATATCAGAGAAGTATTTGGGCTAAGACCACAGATGGGTACTGATTTCGAGAATGAAAGATTATGGGAAGAAAGAGGCATAGGGCTGTTTGGTACCTGTGAACAGTGAAGTGAATAATACACTGGGAACTCAACCGGAATTGCCTAGGAACAACTGCCTGAGGTGATGCTTCATGAACACTCAAGAAACAACAAAAGGCCTCAAAAACTTCAACGTGAAGTCTTTCACCAACATTAAACTGAAATGTTATATGGTTACTTGCGAGCTACCAGCTTCGGGACCCAGTGGGATTACGCAAAATGGGTAAATATCTAATAAGTTAGCTAAGGAGTTATCAGGGAAAATTCACTTCAGATTGAGTTAGCCAAACCAAAATTTCCAAAATGACTTTGACTCTAGTACCTGGTAGCAATAACAACAACAACAACATACCCAATATTATCCCACATCGTGGGGTCTGGGGAGGGTAGTTTGTACGCAGATCTTACCTGAAGGTAGAGAGACTGTTTCCAATAGACCCTCGGCTCAAGAAAACATAAGCACCACATTAATTAAAAGATAGACAATGAGGGACAACACCAAAAGGCCATGTAAAAGCAGCATAAAAACAACACGATAATAAAATGATCAAAATGAAAGAAAATGACGGGTAGTCATAGAAACCTACTACCATCGCGTTGTGCGTACTAATCCTACTGGTATGAACAATCTACCACGTACCCTACTATAATCCTTGACCTCCACACCTCCCTATCAAGGGTTATGTCCTAGTACCCGGCAGCAATATAAAATCAAAATTGTAACTTAAAGTGAACCTAACTAAAACATTCTTTACGGTTTTCCTGAATAGAAAGAAGGATCTTTTATTTCCCTCTCTTGTCAATAATTCCAGGCTGCCAAGAAACTTTCCAGGCCCCTCTTCTTCTAGCCACCATTGCTAGGCATACTCCCTAATCAACTTATGCATCCAAAGTGTAGTGCAAAAATCTATCCCAGCTCTCTCATGTACTCAGTAATGGACAAAATGCACAAATTACAGCGGCTAGAAGAATCATAAGCTGCATGGAATTGTCAAAAGGATCAATGAGGATTGGGGGAATGACGTCAGTGCTGCTCAATGCCCTTATTGTTCTCCAGTAGAATGTTCAGGAGGAAAGGCGCAGGAATGCATACACCAACTAAGCCTAAATCCCAATCAGCAATATATATCCTCTATCTACTCCGCTCTGCTTGAACCTGTTCTTTTTTTAAAAATAGTTTTTTCACCACACCAATTACTGATGTAACATGTGCCTTGGAGAGCACGTTCCAAAACATTCTTTATCTTCCTCTTCAATTTGTTTAGTTTTGTGTTGGAATCAACTTAGCAGAATATCTTTACTCTTATCTGGGTGCGCCGGTGCGGTATCATCATGAAGTAAGCTGGTATTTATGATATTATTCCATTTTAGGGAAGTATATCAGATCATTTTGAATACCTAGTGTAGCACAATCAATGTGAGCGCACCTTTCCCATCCTTGGTGGGTAGGTTTATCCAACATCTGTGCTTGTGTGCTATAGCAACTAGTCCTGTGGATTAGTTGTGGTATGCTCAAGTTGACACGGACACTGGTAACTTTTGTTTTTCAAAAGTGGAGGAAGAAAAAGTTAAGTAATACCAAGTAACATTCTTCTTTCTACCACTTCACTTGAATAGGAATGGTCTTTCGGTTGCAGAAACCATCTCTGCTTTTTGGATTGTTGGAGATAATCAAATTGTCTATATTATGGAAACATGGTGATATATATATATATATATATATATCGAACTATTATACCAAGTCATTGATGTATCTTTTCCTTTTTCATTTTTGTGGCCTGTTCCCCAAAATAATAAGCTAACTTTAGAATATACATTGGCCTTGTGTCTCATTAAAAATATTACCGATCTTTGTGACAGGCCTTTTGATCTGACTTGGCTTTCTTACTTTTATATTGATCAATGAAAAGGGTCTATATGGTGAGTGGAATTTCATGTCTCCCTAGTTACCTTCACCTTAACTTGCCCATTTCCATGCAAATGCTGTTACAATTAATCACGGGCAAGGCATGCAACTTTTACAAGTTTGGACAAATATTTATAGTGAGAAGGCCCAAAAGACCGTAGAGACCCCCCCCCCCCCNTATGTATGTATATATATATATATATACACACACACACACACATATATATATATATATATACACACACATATATACATACACACACACATATATATATAGGCTATTTTTTTTAAGTTTTTTTTTTATCCAAGGCACTTTCTTGTAAACTATATATGTATATACTAGTATAAATTGCTTATATATAGCTATATAAATATATATATATATAATATGTATATATAAGGGTGTATCCGATACATACTCTTATTGAGCCCATGTGTCGAGCGGTTCTAACTGTGAAAGAGGGCCCTTTAGACAACACAACTTCAGCGGGCTATAATGTCACAGCTGGCTAGACGGAGCTACTAAGGCAAAGCCAATAAGAGTAATACCAGAGTCGACTGTGCCACCATCTTGGAACCAAGCCAAGAAACTATATTAAAATTCTTTTATATTTTGAAAGAGTCTGGATTCTTCATAGTTAATATGCAAGAGAAGTTAGTTTTTCAACATAGATATGAATCCGTTTAGTCGGACATAGTCACGGCTGGGGAGAGAAACAAAATAATTAAATACTTATAAAAATTAAAATAAACAAATACCTTTAAGGCCGAGATGCAAGGCCCTGAAGATGGTGAACTGAACTTCGAAACTTTATTTACTTCAACTGATTTACAAAATGAAGAAGCTAAGAAGCTAAAAGTCTTTACAAGAGAGAGAGAGTTCTTAGAGAGAGGTTTTTTTTACAATGTTGTTCTTCAGATGAAGAGCTCCTCTATTTAAAGAAAGAATAAAAACATAAAGAATTTTTAAATAGTAAATTGGGTCCCACATCTGGGTCCCTATACAGTGTTTCTACTGTTGGGAATAGTGTATTTGAGTCCCTTATACAGTGTTTCTACTGTTGAGAACAGTGTATATACTGTTGTGTGGGGTCTTTGGCGGCTTTTAGTCAAAGTCCTCTTCTGTCTAAATCTTCCCTTTGTTGGAGGAAATTTTCCACCTTGTCCATGTTTTTGTCGGATAATATTACTTCCGGTTGTATTGGCTGGGAATCTTCTTCTGCGATATCATCGCCACTTGTTTCATTGTGCATTGATGTGTCTGACCTTTCAGTCTGGTTTATAGTTTGAAGTAGATTTTTTTTTACTTCTTCCAGATATTTATTTATTAATTGTGTCTTGTCTCCTTCTTGAACAGAGATTCTTCTAGCAATATGCCTGACTGAGCTGTCGTCAAATATTTTCTTCTGGGGAGTAGTCGAATATAATTGGATCTGTGCTGAAATGGAATCCAATAATTCTTGG